TCTTCAGAAGTATTAACTCTTTTATATTTTGGAGCCCCAACTTACCTAGAATGTTCTGATCATTTCCATAAAAATATGAATACGTAAATAATATACACACATAAATAGAAAATTGCTCATTTACACTAATAATCTACTCCTCTATGCAAATTAGAAATGTAAGAAAATGTACTCTAATAAGACCAGAGAAAACAAAACTGAAGATATTCTATTCAATTAGAAAAACTTTGTTTGCAAATTTTTATTTTTATCACAAATATAAACAAAGTATAATATTGCTTAACAGATAAAATTTTCCACAAAAAATGAATAATGAATTCCTGTTTTAGTGTATATTAAAGACTCTTAGACTCTTTCCAGAGAAAAATAAGCAAGCAGAAGCAGAAATGTACACATAATGGAAAAATCTATGTAACAAAAGTCATTTTACTTTACTTAAATAAGGGATTGGACAACTCAATTGAATTTTAATCTGTTTGCATCCAACATTGGTACATAATGGACACCAAATAAATATATGAAGCTAACCTTGTAGTTTTCAAAAATCAAACTGCTTATTCCTGTACTTTCACCTGTTACTTTCACCAAACATGAACTATAAGATGACATTCTAAAATGTTATTTCATATTTTGAGTCATTTTCTAAAATGTTATAAAAATTAACATAAAATGTATGTTAATTACATATATAATTACAGTATGTTCTATTTTCCCTCAGGAATTTTGTTTTCACACTAGAAAATTATTTCTAGTCGGTTGTATATTGATATAATATTTATCACCAATAGAATAGGTAATAATAATAATACCCTACTCTGCATTTATTTTAAAAGGTGGTATTTTAAATGGCCTGACCTAACTTAGAATCAAAGTAAATTACCAGGAGATAGTTGCTGCTTTTAAATTTTTGTTCTGTAGCTCCTTTGGGTGACTGATTTTCTTTTTAAACTTACCCCTTCCATTTGGCCTGATCTTTATCGAAAGAGGTGAAAGGAGGAAAAGCGCTGAATTGGAGGAAAAGGCTGGCTCTTAAGCCTTTGCTAAGTATAAAGCCAAAGCAGAAGAGAAAATTAAATACTGCCAGTTTATCTACAAGGCACATTGTGTGAAATACACACTCAGTGATCTCAGCACAAGTATACAAATCATCTGGTGTGATCTTGACATAAAGAATCTTAGTAGGAAAAAATTAACTTTCCTAACAGTGATTCATCTGGCAAAGGGGGGAAAGCATGGAAAGCTGTACCACACATGAATATGTTCCAATGAGGGGCTAATTGACCCACCTGTCATTTACAGGATTATAACAAGGAAAGACATCTCCAGCCTTCCATACAGCAGCACATTATTAAAGTTCTGTTTTACCTGGGCTATGCACCAATATCTATGGGTAAAAGAAGAAATACCCACTGTTGATTGATTGATTTAATATAATCAACAACTGAATTATTTGGAGTCACAGTGGCAGCTTCCAGTTCACAAAATAATTAGCCTCCCCACTCAGCTGATAGCCATTCCCAGAGCATGACCAAGGCAGCCCTAGGCTAGAGGCTCCACAGAAGAAATAAGGGAAAAGGTCTGGTATGTTAAATGAAATAAAGTGGAAAGGCATGATTTGAGAGGGGATGAATTTGTTTGAAAAATTACTCCTTTGAATGTTATTGTGCTGTGGCCTTTTTTATGGTCATAAGAAATTCATACTCATTCTTGTGAATAAGAGAAATTTACTAATTGGCAATGAACCAATTTAAAAGTTTCATTGCAAAGTCTAAAACTCATATCCCCTTTGATTAATCTGATATGATTTAGTCTGAGCACAAATGATACACAGAATTTTATGCCAATTTTTATGTGAGTTGTTTAATCCAGGTTCTAGTTGGAAATTTTGGCAATACTTGTAATCATCAATGACCCATAATGCTAATAATATCTACAAAATTATTGATTTTTTTCTGTTTGTTTTATACTTTATTCTCCTCCTATATATATAAAAATAGGCATACTCATGGATGTGGATATTCATATTTAAGTCATTTTGTAAATGTTGTTACCAAATAATGAGTTCTTTAGGAATTATAGTAAATCTCACAATACCCAGTTTTTAATTTGGCATTTTGAAGAATACAGTCCATTCCTGACTTTAAAATATGTTATACTTGCAAATGGCCTTCTCCCCAGCCATGGAAACCAATGCAATAATAAAGGGATTATTATGGAACATATGCATTCATAAGCAGGAAAAAATGTTGTAAACAAAGACCAGTAAGGGAAGCTAAGCCTTGGAGAAGGACTCTCCTAGTAATGAATTTCTTGCTCAGTGCCTGACATTCCACCAGTTGACCATTAAGCTTGGTTGTTAATAAATATCTATTATTCAAAATTCCAATCTAATCTTATCCTCTAAAACCAGACTACTGGAGTGAATAGCAGAATGGACAAAGAGGCAAGGGGAAAATGAAGCAGGTAGGAGAAATGGTCCTTAAGAAGGAAGAGAGATAAATCAAAGGCGGTCTTCATTTAATCCAGGGGTCCCCAACCCTGTCTGCAACTTCTTAGGAACCAGGCCACACAGCAGGAGGTGAGCATTGGGCGAGTGATAAGCTGCATCTGCCACTCCCCAGCATTACCACCTGAACCATCCCTCCCCCGACCCCTTGGAAAAATTGTCTTCCATGAAACTGTTCCCTGGTGCCAAAATGGTTGGGGACCGCTGATTTAATCCATATTTTTGGATTCAAAATAGCTGTCCCATCTATAAGAAACTTTAAGGAAACTGCTTTCATTTTCCTTCTCTTTTCAGCATTAAGTCCTCCTCCTCCCCGCACAACCCATGCAAGAAGTACAATATAGACTAATATAAGGTACTTTACACGTGCGTTAAAAAGGCTTTGGTGAGCTAGCCTGGGGACCTAAAAACCCTTAGTATCAGTTAAACAAAAATGCTTGTTCTGGATTCAGAATAATTTAAATGTAATAATTTTACAGAGCCCCTACCCTGAGTCAGATATCCTTGTAAATATTTTACAAAGATGAATGAGATGTGGCTTCTATTCTCAAGGAGTTCACAGTTCACCAACCAACCCTCAGGTGTAGTTTTGTAACAATCATTTCATAAATGGAAGTGGGGGATGTAATGTGGGGGTGGGGAGGTTATAGACAGTAAAATCTAGATTAACTGGGGCTAACCAAGGACCCCAATTAACCATAATCCTCACCCCACACCCAAACTCAGGTTTTTAGTACAAAGCATTAAATCATGCTGACATTAGATTTTAATCCAAAAAACAATATAATATTTTATGAATGTGGCAAGTGCATATGCTTAAATTGAACAATAAACCTTGTAAGATCTTTGACATTGATACAAAAATTTAATTGAATTCAGAAACCAGATAAACAAAAACTTATATTTTAGAAACTTTTTTCAGAAAAACAGTACCAAAAAAAATGGATTTTAGTTTAACTGTTAATCAGAAAACTCAATTAACCAGAAACCCCTATTTCCTAAGTCTTCTGTTGTTAATATTTTCAATTACACAGACCATTACAAACCCTGATTCAGGTACTTCCTAGCTGACTAGATGAGTTAACCTCTCTGTGCTTTGGTTTCCTCATTTGTAAAATACAGGTGATAATAGTAACTAAACATGTAAAATATTTTTAATAGTCCCTGGTACATAGTGAGTGCTCAGTAAATGTTAGGAATCATCATCACCATAATTATTAATGCATTACCTAGTTGTGTAGATAGGTTCATAGAATTAATCCCTTGGTAACCAAATAAATGTATGCTGTGTTTCTCCAAATGCACTCAATATTTCCTAGAAGAAGTGAAGCATTAGGAGATACAGCCAGACAAAATGATTGTGGCAGCCTTAAAAATGTCAAGAGGAATGCAAGGAGTCTCTCTCCGAATGTAAAAGCAAAAAGAAACGAAAACCAAACAACCACAAAAACAGTAACAACAGACGATCCTAGGCGTTACTGCTTCCCATCCATCTTTTTAGGCTTTATTCTACACACACAGAGGTTAACATGGGAATGAAAGCCAGAAGAATTCTTAGGTTCCTCAGAACACTGACACTGACTGACAAGTGAAACTTTCCTCTCTGAGACTCCTTGTATAATATTTAGTATTGAAGGACTCAAAGACAGTAGAAAAGAAAAATGGAATTTTATAGTATGAGGAGTTTGTCTGTTTATAAAAATCTTGGTTACCCCTAACCTATCATGTATTTGTTCTAAGAATTTATAGAATATATTATAATTACTGCACTTTATACTTAGAATATATTCATATGGTAGACTCAAGATAGATGAAAATTATTTCTGGTGATATTATTTAAGTTAAATACTGCAATTCAGAAGGAAAATATCAGCATGGGCTTATACTTTAAACTAATGATTTACATATTTGTCTTATAAGGACTTTCCTCTGCATGAGGTGGCCCTTTGTCAGTAACACCTGATTCACCTTCCTCTTTCAATTAGGTCTTGGATGAGAGTGGCAAAGGAGTCAATTTAATGATGGATACTGTAGCCATACATTTAAGGCATAGAGTAAAATTCCACTAGCTGAATCATAATGCCGGCAAGAAATGAAACCAGTCCTACCTAGCTTCTATTTTAAGCCTGTCAACCTATAGCCACTTCCATTAATTTTGAAAGAAAAAAAGGAGCTTCTGGACTTTGAATGACTCCACGTTTATGGTGGGAAAACTGAAAATGCTCAAGAAACCCAATCCAGGCTAATAGTTTTGGATTCACAGTAATTGCATACATTTTATTTAAAAATCGTCCCTAGCAGTATGTGCCTGTTACCTAAAGCGATGGAGCAGGCCCCAGTTTTATGTCTGATTTGAAACCTGGGCCTACAGTACAAGACATAACACCTACTGTGGCCTCTGCTCTGTCACTTTGCCATGCGATTCTAATGTAGTTTTACTTGAATAACATAAAATAACATATATAATGTTATTTATGTTATTTTCCACGTGAAGAACTCCTGTAAACCTTGCCGTTTTGAAACTCAGTGAGGCAGGCGTCTTAGACAAGCTGAAAAACAAATGGTGGTACGATAAAGGTGAATGTGGACCCAAGGACTCTGGAAGCAAGGTCAGTCGCTGCAGTTCGGGGCCTCCTCTTGTGCTCACAAAGCAGTAAATGGGAGCAATTGTCAAGAGTATATAGAAACAGTAAAAACTAAATGTTTCTCTATACACTGCCTAAACTAGAAGCTAATGTCATAGATTTAAGCCAAAGGGAGTAGCTTCTCAGAAAATTGCAAACTGCTCCTCAATATTAAGGCTTTTAAATAAACAAATTAACTGTAAAAATATATAAAATAATAAAATTCTTATATTATTCTCAAATATACGTACCACTAATAAAAATAGTGCTTTTGGATTTGGTTTTTGTTTGTTTTGGAGGCAAAGACCATGAAATGTATTATTTCAAGAACTGATGTATTCTCAGAACAGGAAATGGGGAATTGATCAGCAGTCATCTACAGAAAGAATATTTTAAATATTAAATATATTTTATTCAGGAGTTCAGTCTTTTGTCACCATTTTGCCAAGCATTCCACTTTAGTTTGAAGATGACCTATTATATTTTTGTTCTGATAAACAGAGTAAACCTTCCAATTCTGTTCTAGCAAAATTATTTTAATAAATCAATGTTTACAAATAATATCTTCAGCTTCTAAGATCTCATTCATGAATTTTTTTTTAGAACAATGCAGAAACCTATAGGCCTGATCATGTTGAGTACAAATGAAAATAGTGTTACAAACAGTTATATTTTCATTTAAAGAAAAAAATGTAACAATTTATCAGTGAATCTAAACACCTGCACAAATTAATAGGACATAATGCCTGAAAGGCATTGTTGAGGATTCTTGAAATCTTCATTTATTTTTTCCTGTATCTTCTTTTAGAAAGAAAAAAATTATTGGTTATTCTACGACATTAAATAAGTGACTTACATATATAAGAGAACCTCAGTTAATTTAAGAAAGAGACAAAGTAATGTTAACTGATCTCTATTCAGGCTTCTCCCCGTGTTTTAATCACTTTTGTCTGCCTTTGAACCAGAGTGGAATGAGAAAAGCTTGGCCAAATAATGAAATAGCTATTTCAAGCCCTTATGTAAAGTTAGAGAAGCAAAAGTACTTAATGAGTGATTATTTTTAAAATGAAGTTACCCTAAATTTTTGGTCCAATCAGTTGATGTTATGGCTAAGAGAACAGTGTACATAGTAATTTTTAAAATTAAACCTTCTCCTAATAAAACTATTTAAGCTTGCACAAAACACACTGCTGACCACGGGGCATCCTTCAGGTAGTCTACCCAAAATACTTATTCAAATAATGTTATATAACATATATTTACAATTTATGAAAAATTATGAATTCTTGTTACAATTTTAATTGCAATTATATGCTTCCATATTTCAGACTATTTCTGAATTTATTATGAAATAATATGTATTCTAAATCTCTGGAGAATAATATGTCTAAAATATTAACTGATCAAGCATTTTTAAGCGAAATGGAATCATATTTTAAAGTCAATAAAAATAGTTATAAATCTGTCCATAAATAATTTAGTTCTCAACTGACCGTGGAAACATTTGTATATTTTTAAAGTACCTTTTTAAAAAGTTTCCAATGTGTTGCATATATAGTTATTCCTAAATAGTATATAATATGTTAAAGTTGACACTTTCCAGGAGATTTCTTAAACAGATGTGACTAAAAGAACAAATAACATATACCCTAGCACACTATTTGCATGTATTTGGTAAAGTCATGATGAACAAAATGTGAAACTGCTAGCTTAAAGTCCCTTAGTTCTTTAAGTAGGAAGCATGCAGTTAAATTTATTCAAAAGAAATATCAAACATTAAAAATGTTTTAATGGAGGGAAAGCCAAAAGAGGTTTCCTTCACATGTAATTGGGTTTTTAAAATGTCATTTTCAAACTTAACAATAATAAGCCCACTTCTGCCTATGCTTATATATGGCTAAGTATAGTGGTTTTCATTGTATATTTAGCAATGATAAATGTTATAGATTTTATTGAATGTAATTACACACAATTTATTGGTAATCATCATAACTTCACTTCTGCCAAGACCTATAAGCTTTATGTTTAAATCCATAAAGCTACACCAGTGACTTATACATGTTAAATAATTTCAGGTTAAATTAAGCATTTACTTTAATTAGCTGTTTGGATTTCATGTGTTCTTTCATCTTCTGGATGTGACTTTGCACAGTTAACTCAAGTGTCTTTATCCCCCCCAGGACAAGACGAGTGCCTTGAGCCTGAGCAACGTAGCAGGCGTCTTCTACATTCTGGTTGGCGGCTTGGGCTTGGCAATGCTGGTGGCTTTGATAGAGTTCTGTTACAAGTCCAGGGCAGAAGCGAAGAGAATGAAGGTGGCAAAGAGTGCACAGACTTTTAACCCAACTTCCTCGCAGAATACCCAGAATTTAGCAACCTATAGAGAAGGTTACAACGTATATGGAACCGAAAGTATTAAAATTTAGGGGTAGGACTTAGGGCCTACTACAGTGAGTGGGTGATGCATTCTGTAAATGCAGTGTTGTGACCTGTCTGTGGTGGTATTGCTTGCTTCTAATTTACAGCTTTACATTTTTGAAAACTTCAGTGCACTGTTCAGTTTTCTCTGGCTGCAGATGTACTGTTCGAAACTTTATGTTGCCAATAGATATCTGCATTGAAAGTGTTCAAAAGACTAAAACAAACTTCCAGAATTGCTCTGTAAAATGTTTTAAACAGTATATTCTACCTGAAAATTGGGAGAAATTTGAAATTAGATCTGGGTTTCCTTGTACACAGAACAGGCTAATCTCTGGAACAAACTAGTTTTAAGGTAAATGCTAACAAAGTAAGCATAAAACCTGTTTCAAATGATCAAAGCCTAGACAGTTGCCTATTTTTAATAAGGTTGTGTTGTTTTCTGAGAAAATATATGTAAAATCTCCAAGGCACATAGTAAGCAGTCAATGAATTTTAGCTCCTATTCTAATTTGTTTTATATACATTAGCCATCTTTCTATATTTTTAAAGAGTGAAACCCTGCTATTTGTTCATCTGGCAGTAGTCCTTGAGTCAGACCTTTAGGCAGGAGTGATCATCAGAATATTGACTACAATCCACATTTATTAGATGAAATCCAACTTTTATTTTCACAGCATCACTAAGGTGAACAGGCATTTTAGGCAATTTCTCCATCAAAGATGTCAGCAATATATGTTCATTAGGAGAGACACAGTAAAAATAAAAATTGCAGTGAGTATTTATTGACTTTTGTTTTCATTTCAATTGCTTTTAAGTAAGCCAGATCAGTCCCACTTACACCCTTTCATCATGTGACAATAAAAAATTATAAGCATTCAGTAAAATATAGGATGGAGGTCATTTTTTTTAAGACTAAATGTCTAGTACTTTTTCCCTCTGATAATAGAAAATCGTTTTAAAATAAGATCTGGAAGCATTTGTTGTTGCTTTTCTTAAAGTCGGGTATCTAAATTCCATTTTCTGAAATTATATATAATGGCCATTCTATTAACAATGATAAATGAAACTTTGAACTCCCAAGAGACACTTAGTGCTTGAGGCACCCTAGAGTCAAACCCAATATAATTTTTATAAGAATAAGATGTATACCTGAGGTTATGCCAGGTAAACATGCTTGATTTTGATATTTATTTGTAAAAAAAACTATTGAGGGAGTTCCCTGGTTGCCTAGTGGTTAGGATTACGGGCTTTCACAGCTGTGGCCCAGGTTCAGTCCCTGGTCAGGGAACTGAGATCTCACAAGCCTGGTGGCATGGCCAAAAAAAAAAGCTATTGAAATACTTGTTAGTCTCTTAAAGCAAAGAGCAAAAGCCATCCCTCTTTAACCAAGATCTAATTGCTTTTATCCATAATCTAGAAATCAGTGACTGAGTACAACTGTACATAGATAAGCCCAAAGTGGTTCTTTCCAAATTTTGTGAAAAAGAATTGAGAACAAAATCCTCAATTCACTCAGATCAGAATGTTTAGAGTATGTCTTCTAATAGCAGAACAACAAATTATGATGATGTCAAGCTTTCTTAGCCATTATAGTAATGCTTTCAACTTAATATTTATAGAATTGTGGAGAGATTTTTCCCGAACTGCAAAAAACAATATCTGAGAAGTTTTCAGAGACAATTATTTGGACTTCATTCTGTGATGAATTTCATAAGATATCGTTTAAAAGTTTTCTTTAGCATAGCAAATGCATTCTAGAAAAATTCTAGAAATACTCATGGATGCTAGTTCAATACAAAGTTCTGGGAAATTGCTAGAAAGAGATATGAATTCCCAGGTTATGTACATAAAATTCACATGTAATAAATGTTTTTGGAGTCAGAACCTAGTACTGCAGTTCATCACATGAATTGCCTTTAGAGCTGAACTTTTAAGACAATAAATTTCAAATAAAAATAAAGCATTCAGGCTCCCCTGGTGGTGCAGTGGTTGAGAGTCTGCCTGCCGATGCAGAGGACACGGGTTCGTGCCCCAGTCCGGGAAGATCCCACATGCGGCGGAGCGGCTGGGCCCGTGAGCCATGGCCGCTGAGCCTGCGTGTCCGGAGCCTGTGCTCCACAGCCGGAGAGGCCACAACAGTGAGAAGCCCGCGTACCGCATAAATAAATAAATAAATAAATAAATAAATAAATAAAGCATTCATATCCATATGACTTTTTAAAAGACTTAATGGCATTCAGAGCAAATGAAATGATCTGATTCTGTAGAGAAGACTTGAGAGCAAGCATTTTCCATTGTACTCCCATATTAAATGGATTTTTCCTTTCAAAAATTCTATTGACCATAATTATGAAAATGACTGATAATTTAGATAATATTGTATCAGAATTTCAAAAACAAAACCTGAATGTCTACTTTAAAAGTGATCATCCCTCAAGGGAACACCTAATTAAGGTCACAGCCATTGGCCATAACATCCAACCAGAACCAGAACCAGACTATATGGTAAATTTATAAGAAAGTTTTCCAGTTTGAGTAGTCTCAGCAGGGTCACACAAAGATTAATAGAAACGACATTTTATGTAAGAAGCAGAAGATATAAGTATAGGAAATAAGAATGCAGAGAACTAAGAATACTAAGATTTAAAGAGAGAATAAGAAGTTGTCAAAGACTTATTAACACTCAGTTGCATTAATCCATAGAGAAGGAGAGATTACTTGAGAGTACATGGAATACTTCCTGTTTTGATATTTTCTTTTCCTCATAAAGGCAATCAAGAAAATAAAGGGAAAAAAATAGATTTTATGGCAAAAGCTTTCTGAAAAAATCACATGCTCTTATTAATTATATTTTAATATTTCCTCTTCAAAAAACTTTAATAGATTTTTTAAAATAATTATTTTACTTAATATTAAATGTTGAAAGGGAATCTGAAGAAACAAAGTCAGACTGTCATCTTGGTTTGTTTTAATTTAGGGATGAGTAATTTCTATAGAGATTGTCTCCTGACTCCTGATTATAAAGATAAGTAAAATTTAATTTTTGAGACTGTTTACTAAAGATGAACTATAATAATGACCTCAGTGTTTATCATACATACATCAGTAGCAATTTGACTTCAACTTTCTGAAGTTATCAGGGTAACTGATCTCAAAACCTTCTCATTATAACAGTTTCTAATCCAATTTTTATTTCATATTTAATACATCATTATTCTAATATTTAAGTTACAAGGCAGAATAAATACAGGGATGGAATTTCCTAAAGAATTAGGTAAACTTAAATTCACAACAGGGAATTAAGACACAATATGAGTTATGAGAAAGTTATGATAAGCCACACAAACTTAGGGAATATCTCCTTTACCTTATTTCTTCTTGAGTTAACATTAAATTTCAGCTACTAGAAAGATTTTAACATTAAATTTCAGCTACTAGAAAGAATTTAAAGGCAATGAATGAACAGCAAGTAGATTTTCATAATAACACTGCCTGTTTCTCCTCAGTGTAGTATTGTTACCTTCTACCTAATATGACAGAACAAGAATATAATGAGACCTGACCCCATAACATCAATCCAGGAACTTCCCCAGTGATGACCGTTCAATGAGGCATTGAAACATGCCCCCTTTCAGTGCACTTCCCTTTAACCACTTAAAGCTTCTTAAAATATGAACTTTAACTTCCATAGTAGGCATAGAATGAACTTTATGTCACTAATTGTCCTATTCTGGGTTATATCTATAGCTGCTGTGAAGGAATGAAAGTATCTGTGGATAGATCTGTGTTCTGAAGACAGGAATATCTGTCATAAATAGTCTATATATATATAGTTTGGTTAGACAATTCATCACAATTTTAAAAGTACAATCATTTAACTGTTAAGACATTTTATAACAAGAAAAAAAGATCCAAATAAAGAATGTTGTCAAACCTAAAGAAGCTTTTAAGTTGGACTAGAAATACCAGGGTGTAGAGTGCAGCAAGTTGAAAGATGTGTCTTGCCCAGATTTGCCAAACAAAATCTTGTTTTATGATTTTAGAATTAGTTCTTAAACAGATAGGACCACAAACTCTAGAGTGATTTATTCTTCCAGGTAGTTGAGCTTTTCTTTCCTGTGATAAGCAGTTTTCATATGACCAGAAGAATATGGAAAAAATGCAGATGTCTAATTATTGATATTTTGGTGTTTGTTGTGTCATATTTTGTTGAAAAGACAGAAATATTGTAACACTCCACATTCTTTCTGTTTCCTTTCCATGCAACCCAGCTGACCTTTTCTGAAGCCATAAGAAACAAAGCCAGATTATCCATCACTGGGAGTGTAGGTGAAAATGGCCGCGTCTTGACACCCGACTGCCCAAAGGCTGTACACACTGGAACTGCAATTAGACAAAGTTCAGGATTGGCTGTCATTGCATCAGACCTACCATAAAAACCAAAAAAATAATTGAGTGCCTTAATTAAACTGTGTTGGTGACTGATGGAAACGCAGCCCTGAGAGACATGCTAAGTGCAGGTCTTCGCAAACCAATCCTTTGGCTGAGAGCAGGAAGTACATCCTAAGGCGCTGAACATCAGCAGCAGCAACATGTGCATGAGCTCAGCTCGGAAACCCAAACTCAGATTTTGTATCAGGAAAACTCAAAATTTAGAATTTTTTGGGGGGAGTGGGTGGGGGGAGCTGGGATGGGTGTATCAACAGCAACAGATTTCACTTGAGTGAACTTAAAAACTAATCAGACATGCGAGTTAGCACATTAAACTGTGAAGTTCTTGCTCAGAAAGGCCTCAGTCTTCACTCCAAGGGATAAAATAGTTACAGAAGTCAATGAATATGCTAACCTGTGTCTCCAGAACACCCATATATTCAATGGAAGACTATCCAGCCAAGAAAACAAAATCACTAAACTCTGATAAGAAAATAATAAACAAACATGTATATCCTGTGAAAAAATTTAAAGGAAGTATTTACACTTACTTTGGAGAAAACAAATACTGAAACATGCTTGCTTTTTAACTGACGTAAATTCGGTAGAGGACAACACAATTCTTTTTTCTAACCATCTTAGGGAACAATACATTGCAATAATTGAAATAAATGCCACCACTGTAAGAAACTTTAGAGACTTTTTTAAAATAAAAGTTGTTGGTCATCTTCTTGTTTGCTGTAACCTTCACTCTGTCACATGAATCAGTGTCCACAGATTACATTTGTCTCACTACCAGGAACAAAAACAAAATGAAGACAACTTTAAAGTAAAATCATCAGTCCACAATGTAGACTCAGAAGAGACTACGGGTCACTCATATTATCTATATTATTTATAATCTTGTTCTGTGTACAAAATTGTGGTTTTTGTACCCACCAAAAAGAATAAACAACAGACATTCTTAAAATATTTACAGAGCTTAAAGTTTTTTCTTATCATTATAAAAGTTATTTGAGAAATTGTAAGACTATAGGTGGGATTGTAGAAGTAAATTGTGGGCCATATTTAAAAATGTAGCAAGCCCTTATTATTTTTGCATAGTAAGCTACTCTTTTTAACAGATCTTTGCTTCATTAGCAGTTAAATTGTCAAAGATGGAGTATTTAAATTGGGGAATGAATCATTGTCATAACAGCAACATACCTGGTAATTATGTACTGAAATTTTACTTGGCTGTATTTTGCTGCATAAAATAATGTGTCTCTTGGGCTTCTCTCCCCATTCCCATTGTTCCATTTAAATAATTTGAAGGCACTAATAATATTTTGTGGTAGACAACGTATGAAGAATTAGTCTTTGTTGAAAATTATACATGTTTATTTACAAAAATCACCTTAGTTATGTAGGGATTAAATTAACTTGGTTCAAAAGGAGGTTTAGATCATTTGAAATAATAAGTACCATAACACAGATAAACATCACAATACTTAGAGATCTTGGCAGAAAGCACAAGATAGGATGATTTTGGAAGTCTGGCCTTGAAGGATGAGTTGAGTTTTCATAGGTGGAGTTTTTACAGGTGTTAAAAACCTTATAGGTGAGCAGTGACCCAAAGTTTGGCTTGTCAATGGATTGTTTAAGGAGTATATGAGCTGAAGAGAAATGGGTGTGATATCATGGAAGGTAAAATTGGAAAAGTTGAAAGACTGATCACCTTGCTTCAACTCTCAAGATTCTTGTCCCCCATTCAATTTCTGTGCTGCAGTAAGAGCAATCTTAAAAAGTGCAAATCTGATAGCTTACACACACACACACACACACACACACACACACACACACATAGAGTTCCCTCAGGAAAAATTGCAAGCTCTTGAGCAAAGCAAATGAATTGCTTTATAATCTGGCCCTTACTTATTTCTTCCATGAATTCTCTCCCCTCTACCCAACTTCTGCTGCCCATAAATGAACCTCAAAAGCAGGGACACTGCATTTTCTATTTCCTCAAACTATAACACTTCCCTATTTCCTCTTTACCTGATTCACTGGTACACATTCTTCAGTACTCAAATCATATTTTACCTGCCCCAGGAAGATTTCCATGACTATCTACCAGCCCCTGCCCATGAGACTGAGTTAGGTGTCCTTTTGATGTTTTGTCCCCATCACAGCACTTACCATACTGCATTGTAATTGCCTGTGTACTTGTCTGTTTAACTACTAGACTGTAAGCTCTTTGAGGGCAGGGACTGTCTATCTTGTTCACAGTTGTATCCCCAGCACCCAGCACAGTGCCTGGCATATTGTAGGTGCTTAATAAACATTTGTTGAATGAATAAATGAATTGAATTGAATTAATTTAATAGAAGCAAAAAAAGACAACATCTTTCATCATTAACAGTCTTTTCCTCATTAACAGTGTGTGTTAAGTATATAGTGAGTCAAAGTGAAGAGTGAAGGTTGGCTGATTTCATGGCATTGTCTACCTCATTGTCTACAGCACTAAAAAAATATATATGATCTGATTAATTTTCTGATCAGATAAGAAGGTATTCCATGTAATTGTATCTAGCTATGAAGTAATTTGTTTAGCTAGAGAAACTATCATAAGGTGATTAAGGTTTTAGCCATGCTTCTAAAAATAGCTTTCATTTAAGTCACAGAGTGGATTAGTGATATAAATTTAAGAAGTTATATTTCTTATAGTTTTATTTCTATATTAGTAATACTATTATATGTTTAAATTTCTGTGTTCCTTATAGAATAATTTTGCCAAAAACAAAATTTTAAATTTGACTTTAGTAAAAAGTGATATCTACCTAATCTGAGGAAATGCTATAAAGCTAGGAAATGTGATTTTAAAACATGTATGTCTAAGTTAAAAACATTTAAGCTAAAAACCTTAGTTCCATAAAGTAAAGAACTTAATTATCAAGCAAGCATGATCACCATCTAGGGCAGAATTTCCTGAACATTTTAGGAAAAGCCAATTTTGAAACTATATCAGCTAGTACATGATGACCGCATATGAAAGATATAAAGAGCCCTCAGGAGAACCACTTTGCTACACTCAATTCAATAGCTACTAATTGAAAATGCCACACTGTTACTACACTTGTTTCAGGCTTGCTTCAGGTTGCTCCCTGGTCTCCCACTTATCAACTGTCAACTCATTCCATTTCCCTAAGGCATAGCACATAGTGGGTGTTCAATATATTTGTCAGTGCATAAACACAACTTTATATAGTCAGTATCAGTGAAAAAAATGGTCTAATAGCTTTCCCAGAAAATAGACTATCCCAATTTTCAAAATCAATAAAGTGTTAATAAGAACTAAATGAAAAGTAACATCTAGGAGAGTTTCTGAAAAGACAAATTGAAATTGCACAGATTCATTTGCCTTATATTTATCAATATGATGCTGCATGAAAAGTGTGCTTTTTCATGCACATTCATAAACAGTTTTTAATTTCACATAGTCCAGCAGGCTAGAGTACTTAGCATTTGTAAAACCAAATGCAAATGTAATCAGTAGTATGTTTATATATTTTCTAAACAGCTAGTACCAGTAATATTTTCAAAAGAGAGCTGCTCTTTAAGAAAAGATTTTGATAAATTATGAAGAGCAAGAGATGAGATTTGGAAATTGTATCTCAAAAAACAAGAGAGAGATAAATTATTTTCCATGAAATAAGAATAACCCATTTATTTATCTTGCTTTAATTTCATTTTCTTTGGGTGAAAAAGTGGACTGAAGAATGAGGAAAAATAAAAGATTAGGGAAGGGGGAAGGCGGAAGATGGCGGAAGAGTAAGACGCGGAGATCACCTTCCTCCCCACAGATACACCAGAAATACATCTACACGTGGAACAACTCCTACAGAACACCTACTGAAGGCTGGCAGAAGACCTCAGACCTCCCAAAAGGCAAGAAACTCCCCATGTACCTGGGTAGGGCAAAAGAAAAAACAGAGACAAAAGAATAGGGACGGCACCTGCACCAGTGGGAGGGAGCTGTGAAGGAGGAAAAGTTTCCACACTCTAGGAAGCCCCTTCGCGGGCGGAGACTGCGGGAGGCGGAGGGGGGAGCTTCGAAGCTGCGGAGGAGTGCACAGCAACAGGGGTGCGGAGGGCAAAGCGGGGAGATTCCCGCACAGAGGATCGGTGCCGACCGGCACTCACCAGCTCGAGAGGCTTGTCTGCTCACCCGCCGGGGCGGGCGGGGCTGCGAGCTGAGGCCGGAGCGCAGGGAGAGGACTGGGGTTGGCGGCTTGAACACAGCCTGAAGGGGTTAGTGCACCACAGCTAGCCGGGAGGGAGTCCGGGGAAAACCCTGCACCTGCAGAAGAGGCAGGAGACTTTTCCTTCCCTCTTTGTTTCCTGGGGCGTGAGGAGAGGGGTTTAAGAACGCTGCTTAAAGGAACTCCAGAGACGGGCGCGAGCCGCGGCTAAAAGCGCGAACCCCAGAGACGGGCGCGAGCCGCGGCTGAAAGCGCGGACCCCAGAGACGGGCGCGAGCCGCGGCTGAAAGCGCGGAATCCAGAGACGGGCGCGAGCCGCGGCTGAAAGCGCGGAATCCAGAGACGGGCGCGAGCCGCGGCTGAAAGCGCGGAATCCAGAGGCGGGCGCGAGCCGCGGCTGAAAGCGCGGACCCCAGAGGCGGGCGGGAGAAGTTAGGGCTGCTGCTGCCGCCACCGAGGGGCCTGTGTGCGAGCACGGGTCACTCTCCACACCCCTCTTCCGCGGAGCCTGTGCAGCCCGCCACTGCCGGGTTCCCGGGATCCAGGGACAACTTCCCCGGGAGAGCGCACAGCGCGCCTCAGGCTGGTGCAAAGTCACGCCGGCCTTTGCCACCGCAGGCCCGCCCCGCACTCTGTGCCCCTCCGTCCCCGCCGGCCTGAGTGCGCCAGAGCCCCCAATCAGCGGCTCTTTTAACCCCATCCTGTCTGAGCAAAAGACAGACGCCCTCCAGCGATCTACACGCAGAGGCAGGGCCAAATCCAAAGCTTAGCCCTGGGAGCTGTGAGAATAAAGAAGAGAAAGGGAAATCTCTCCCAGCAGCCTCAGAAGCAGCGGATTAAAGCTCCACAATCAACTTGATGTACCCTGCATCTGTGGAATACCTGAATAGACAACCAATCATCCCAAATTAAGGAAGTGGACTTTAGGAGCAAGATCTATGATTTTTTCCCCTTTCCTCTTTTTGTGAATGTGTATGTGTATGCTTCTGTGTGAGATCTTGTCTGTATAGTCTTGCTTCCACCATTTGTCCTAGGGTTCTATCCGTCCATGTTTTTTTTTTTAAATTTTTTTTTCTTAATAATTAAT